TAAGAAAGGAAAATCGTTCCAAAGACATATTACTCAACGGGCTAATTAACGCTTCGTTAAGATGAAATCGGTGCATTTGAGTAATTGGTTCCGCAGGAACTTTCTCACCAGCCCGAAAGTTGTCCGATGCATCGTTCGCGATTCTACCGATCGAATTTCCTTTCGACGTCGGAACGGGATAATCGTATTCCCAGAAGGTCGAAATTTACATATTTTCCAGCTTCCTAACACTCGGCGCCTCCGAAGGCATAATATTTCGATATCGCAGTTTGGGATCGCGACAGCTTCCCAAGCCGTAATTAAATTAGTCGCTTGAAAAGAAATAAAAATTATTCGTTTGAAAGCATGAACCGACACCGTCCGTGAGAGAAGCGTAAAGTTAAAAAGCCACCGTTTGATATCGGTACGGTGCATTTACCGTACACGCGTGACGAAAGCCGTTTCCTGCAGAGGGAAGAATTTTTGTAAGAAGTTAATTATGGAATCTCGTCTCGTCTCGTCTGGTCGGAGGCACACGGTAAAACGCGAAACGCGACAAGAGGGTAGAGGAGGATAGAGGGAGAGGGACTCGCACAGGTGGCATATGCCTCGACTCGTGGCCAGGGTACAGTACGGAGCAGCGGCTACCTGTCGGCGAGGAGGAACGTGATTAACAAACGTGATCGATCCTCGCGATGCCCGAGATAATTCGAGTGGGCAGTCTTCGCACGCACGATCAATATTTATAACGCGTGGTGGTCGGTGCTCCTGTTTCTTCGACGCGTGGAATCCTACGGTAGCCGCGCGTGCACCAAACGCACGATGTTCTCGCGTGCAAACGCGATCATTTTTTAAGCGTTGCGAATAGAAATCGCCGGCGCGAGGCAAACGAGAGGAAACACGGTGCTTCAACGTTCGCGCGTTTTGTACGTCCTGCTCTAAAACCTACAAATTGCACGCTAAATTATCTCTCTATTCCTACGATACTAACTTTCGTTTACCTGTACGCGAGACTTTACTTTGATCCTACCGGTGCGAAACTCGCACGCTTCCGTATCTATACCCCGAGTCGAACTCGCCTGTGAAGCGATCAAACGGAGCTTTATCTAACAGAACGACCGTTTCGACGATAACCTTGATACTACGCGTTCGAAATCCCGAACAACTTTTCTCGAGTCACGCTTCCTAAGAAGAATATTTCCTTGAAACTTTTTCCCTCGAGCAGATACCGATGTCCGATTCGAGAAAAAAATCGCCCTATCGTTCCGACGATCGCATTTCTTTCGCCGCAACCTTTTACGAATTACGGTTTCCGAGTTCACACGTTCGCTCCGAGTCCTAATTGTTCCGAACCGGAAGAGCCGCGGTTTTTTCTATTTTCGTTCGAGAAATAAATTCTCACAACGCGCGCGATTCGCGCAAAAGGACGAAGGAAATCAAACGTCACCACTCGCCTAATTAACATCGTAGCTGCTTTCTTATTTACCGTAAACGCTACTGCTTCCACTGTTTCACCGTTGTTCCTATCGTTATCGCGGAGAAAACACGTTCGACGCTTTCGTCCGCAAACAGCAATTTATCGATGTTATCGGCGTCGAGTTTGCTCATCCTTTTCCGTATCCGATGAAAAATCCCGCGTAACCGTGCCTTCATCCTAAATATCCGAACGCTTCCGCCTGACGTGTTTCTCATTTTCGTCTCGCGATCTACGCACGTATTAGATCTCGATAAGTGTAATGTACGCATCGAGCAACCAGGACAAATCGAGAACATCGCGTTCCAGATCTTAATTGATTCGAGACCGAACGAACCCGCGAGTTAATATGCAAATTCGTCGTTTACTGAAAGATCGAAAAACGTCGCTCCGATATTTGTTGGCAAGGTTACTGACGCGCGATCAAATTCCTCGACTCGCGAGGAAGATAAATCGGCACTACACCCGTTGCGTAACCTACACGCGATATTATTAATTAGCTTTCGGAGGATCGAGATAATCGCGTTGTTCGCTATATAATTTCCAGCCCTGATTTTACGACATCCGAAACGATCTCTCCGCTCGGATAAATAATTTGTTAGGAAGTTAATGGCGCGATCGTTTCATCCTCCGAATTCGTTCATCGTAATTAAGTACACCCGCGATATCAATCACCGTTACATTGTTCTCGGTAAGTATTAAGTTGGTGAGTTTCGCAAAGAAAGGACTTTCCCGAAATCTCGACAGCACGGACTCGTTCTTCGCTGTCCCAGACGTCGCACGATTTAATACGTTGCTCGAAACACTTTACGAGCTCGGCAAAAAGAAACGGGAGACTCGTGGAATAGCTCAATTATTTAACGCATCGAGACACGAAAATAGGTACAATCGCTTAGGTCAAGTTTCCCTTTTCGCGCGAAAAAGTGACGAGCGAAGAAATCGCGTTTAGAGACGCGACCAGAACGATTCATCATCATCATCGTCGTCGTCTTCATCATCATTACCGCGAGCCGCTTTTTAGATCGGACGCAACGTACAACCTGTGCTTACCACCCTCGTGAAAGTTTAACGAACCGTGGTATTCTGGTTTCGCCGAAATTTCGGCCAACGCGTCCATGTTGCGCGACTAGAGATCAACGCGAGGCAGTCGATTAATCGAGTGTACCGTTCGCGAATTAACGGCGACGATCGAGACCCGTAGTTATCCATCGATATTCCCGAAAGAAATAACAAGTGTATCTAGAAAGCGTTACGACTCAACATTGTTCCATTTCGCTGCAACTCGTTCCAACGTTTCGCGTACTCCCTGTAAACGACCGTTTCCAGCAAGTACATATCTATTCCGACATGACACACATGTTTCTTGCTACTGCCATCAGATTGCACGGTGTATAAACTGTGCCAGATTATCCGCGAGTCCACGGAGAAAGTAACCGTGCGAATAATTCACGGATCAAAAGGTAGCGCGTGCCGGAGAATCGTCGCGAAAAAAGAAGGATCGTTCGGTGATGCGTCTAGTCGGGCAGAGGACCACCGTTTAACTTCGCGCGAACGCTCGAATCTCTTTTCGCTGCGTTGTCACTTTTTCACCCGGGGAAGTTGTTGTTCGTTCTTCCATTTTCTAATTTAATTCGTATCGCCAACGATTCGATTGTTAACCGCTCGGACAATTAACGCGCAAAATGAACCGTGAATCTAGCGAGAACAGTTGTATAGACGGGCGAAGAAAAAATGCGTGATTCGCGTTTTGCGGGTAATGAAAAAGCGGGCAGGCACGTTCGTAGAAAAAATGAACGATCGAACGGTGTGTCCGGCGAACACATTCAGCGAATTACTCAACCGCGTCTACGAGTTGATTTATTTGGCAAAAAACTGGTAGATTGTGCGTGCGGGAGTCTTTTAACCGCGACCCAAAGGGAACTCTGGTAATTCGATGGACGGAGAATAATGCGACGCGACGAGGCGTCTCCGCGAGGAAAGTGTCTTCGAAGAGCGAAGACGAATCGTCGAAAGAGCGACGAACCGACGAATCGACGAAAGAACGAACGAAAGTGTGTCGTCTGTTCTGGCACGTATTTCCTTTTCTATGTTCAGAGGGGGGCATAGTTGTTCGGGCCCCGACACGCCGAACAACTCGAGGAGAGCTCGGCTCCTCGCGTTGCCCCATAGTGGGGGCAGCGACATAAGTACGAGACGGCCTTAAGAAAAGCCTTCATTCTGATAGCAGATCGCGATTCATGGAGTCAGTGAATTCGTGAAACGCGGTCGCGCGACGAAAACCAAACGAAAGGCCATCGAGAGCAGATTCGCGAAATCCCTTCGATGCGCCACAGAAAACGATCCGTGGTGAGCGTTGCTGATCGTCCTCGGGTGCAGCGGGTGCAAAGGGTGCAGTTTTCATCGGAACGGAACATCTTTCAAGACATCTCGAAAACTTCAGGTAGGTAATGGAATCTTGCGTAACGACCGACGGCGTTCGTTTACGTAAGTCGAAGGTCGACGATTTCCACCGCGGGAAGAATCTCTTTGAGTTCGCGCGTTAAAAATCCCCCGGTGAGGCCGTCCAACTCTTTGCGAGCCGACCTCAACTTTTTCTGCGGTGCCGTGAAAATCAACAATCTCACTGAAATAATTAACTTCCAAGCATCGTTGGAACGTTTTTCCACGATATCGAGACGGAAAAAATCGAATAAATGGAAATTATTAACTGCTCGGATATTACGATCGATCGTTATCGCGGAAAGTATATTCGACGCTTCCATGATTCGCGCATAATCGTCGGTAATCGTTTAGGAAAAAGTTAAAAGTAACGCGGCAAGAATCGAGCGGCAGGTATTACTTCTATCTACCGTTATATTTATTCCTGGGTACAATGAATTCTCATCTAATTTTCGACGATCAAAAGAATCCGTTTGCATCGGCGGTATGGTATGTTTCGTAATTTCGGACTTCGAACAATGTAAAACGGCTCGCACGTTATTCACGGAACGCGGCGTTTAATCGGATTCAAAGATGGTGCGCGACTACTCAGAGATGCGGTTTTACCACGATCCTTATCCGTTTCGTTTAAAGTTTCCCCGATTATCGGAAGTTAATGCGGCGTTCGCACAACGCGATACCGTTGCACTCTTCGGAGGACATCGGCTGAAAACTGTAATTCCCAGACACTCGGAGGACTTCCTTGTTGCCACGACGCGACGTTACGCTGTTATTCGAGCAGATACTCGCCTTCCAGTGCAACAAGTCGCTTCGTTCATTCATTTTCTGTGAGCTTCGTTTCTTCGAAATCGATCTCTTTGTCGAACCATGACGGAATTTTTTATCATCGAACGGGAATTACACAGCGCACGAGCAACAAACGATTCGTTAGAATGACTCGACGGGTTCGAGACACCGAATTTCGTGGACGATGTCCAGACAGCGATAAGGCTCGAGTAACAGTTTGAAAATAGTGTACGATCCGGTAACGCGAGTCGCCTCGCGTGTCCGTCTAACTGTTCGGAGAGTAAGCGACCACGAAAAATACATCGGAGAAGAATAGAACGATAGCTTGCTCGAAGCGAAGTTTCGGTCTGCGTGTTCTCGATCGGGACGGGGTGGCGGCAAATCGAGGCGAACGGAGGCAGATTCGCTGCTTGTATCGTCCGGTGTTTCGCTGCAAGGACGAACGCTTCCTACGAGTAGCGAACTTTGTTCTTCGTTTTGCACTACTTGTGCGTCACGGAAAGTGCTTTCCACTCTAACATTAATGACGCCGTTGTCTAAAGCCGTCGGCCGAGTCAGCGAAACCAGTTCGATACGTGGCTCGAAACGAATTCGATTGACAAACGTCCAACAACGATAATGGAACAAGATTACAGGTGCAAGAATCGAGGAAGCTTACCATAACTAATATCTAGAAATTACCAATTGCAGACCATATATCTGCGCGATCACCAGTTACGTTAAACATCGATCGAAACAGGAACTATGATTTCTCGCGTCTACACGCGTGCTACTTCAATACTTGATACTTTAATGTTATGCCGCTAGATCGGAATTACTTTATAACGTTGCTTAATTAACATTTCAGTAGTCACTCCTCAGCTTCGTAGTATTCACAGCTATTATTAATTTTATTATTATCCAAATAGGGCCTTCCGAAAAGATCGCGTTCGAGCGGTCCCGGAAACAAATTATTAAGTAATTACCTAGAAAGGTAAAAAGTAGTGACCTAGAAACGGACTAAACAGCGGCAAAATAAAATGCCGCGTATCACAAATTATTCGAGTTTGGGGTTAAAAAACTCGAGCGAGACTCGTCGTTTCTACTAGAACGGTTAGGTAATAAACGCTGTGTGGTCCGCCTGTAAATACTGCTCGACTCTCGATGCTGAACTTGGACAAATATGTATCTGGATATTACGCAAGCGTCTAGTTTCGACTTTCTCTCTCTTCGTACTTCTGGTTCTTCCTCGGAGTTTTAAGTTTGCTCTCCCATAAATGCTACCAGGGGAAATTATTTTACCCGATTAACGAACTAATTCGCGTTTAAACATTTGCCAAGATTTTCCGAAGAGGGAAATTTGGATCTCGTGGCAACAAACTTGGCGCGATATGATTCTTGGAAAGTCGATTCACGAGTAACTCGAGCGCAGGCGTGTGCATACCTTACAGTATTCGCACGTGATGCATCGGTGAGTGCACGTAACTCGTCGATCCGTTCATCCAGACATGCCGATTATCATACGAGAAACTGGCGCTTATAATCTATCGACTGATTGAAATGTGAGAGACCACCGTTCGGTTACCGCTTTCTTGGCCAACTGCCAGATTTTCTTTTCTCACCCCTTCTTCTGCATATCGTACCCTGAGAATTTGCTCAGTCATCTAACGGCGAATTATTGTACATATTGTCTCCGGAGAAATAAGCTTGAACCGGGTCTGCGTTTAGGGCGACGGAATAACGGTCCCATTTACATCGAACCGAGCTTGGATTCGCTAATTGAAAATCCGTGTAAAGCTACCCCGCTTAAGACCATTTGTGGTCGGTGTCGGTGGTCTTCGGTAATTTGTCTAATTCGCGTGGACGACATTACGGTCTAACAGTTTCAATCGAAGGCAGAAAGAATTAGAAATAAAAACGTAACCATCGCGCGTGAAAACGAAAATAATCGATAATTATAGAAAAATAGAGGCAGGACGACACCGGTTCTATCGACGCGATTCAGACAGATTGTACGGGACAATCACGATCTTTATCGCCGTTGGTGATTGGTATTCCGATACTAGCAGAGGTTGAACGTTATTCGAGCAGCGGGTATGGCATGAGAAAATCGCGAAGAATTTGTTTCGTCGACTAGCTAATCGGCACCTCGAGAGCATACAATATTTCCAACGCGAGTCGAGCCAACAAACTTCATAAAACTGGGCTCTGGCGGATCGCGGCTATCCGTGCAACGATCTGTACACGCTGCTTAAAACAATTGAACAATCGTAATTAAGAAACGGCAAACACAGAGACACCGATGCATCGGACTCTTGCGCTTTTCTCGCTTCCGTTTAATTGTCTCGAACAACGTGCGTCGAATCTTAAACGGTATCCTCGTTTCGTCGGAACTTTTCAAAAGGAGAGATGCCGCGTCGTTTTCGATGCAAAACAGGAATTCTCGAAACACGAGCTTAGAATATCGACCCAGTTGCCGAAAAATCGCTCGACTTTCGCCGTGCACTTCCAGAAATGGCCGGCGACCATCCTGTTATTTGCCAGGAAGGGGCAAAAGAACGTTCTTTCGTGCGCGCGGAGTAGATCGTTCGTGAGTAGCTTGACAATAAACGATGGGCAATTTTCGCACGCTCGCCGCGCAGCTCGACGACATATCCGACCGATTCAAAGTTTCGCTTCCTAGCGATTCCGAATACGAATCGCGACGCTCCGAATAAACGAGCTGTCCAATTGGGAAGGAAGGAAGAGTCGCGTAGCGCGAAATTAAGAAGGAAAGATTCCGTAATTTCTGAATTATCCGGTGCAACGCGTGGAAAATGACCGTCTGATTCTCCAGGCTGTTAGGGAGAAGAAAAACGCCGAGAACACGAAATGTACGTACTCTCTGCTCCTGGAGTAAAAAGCCAGACGTGATTAATTGACACCGAGACGCAACGAAATCGTTATCAAAGGTAATTACGCGTCTGAGAAAATGCTTAAAATACATACTGGGATAGAAGCGCGCGAATCTGTATCTGGGTTAATCACGGTCCGTGTAATACAATTTCCAGACGTACCGTTGCCACTGGCCATTGCGATGAAACGTTTTACGGAACGAACAACTCTAACGGTACGATGTCTCCGAAAAAAAAGAAGAATGAACGTTAACGCGTTTGACAAAAACCATTCTAATTGCTTCTAATCTGCGTAGCTAATTGATACTGATTCTTGCCACCGTTAAAGGAGCGACACGCGACCAATCCTCGCGATCGAATCGTTTATTTCTACGGAATCAATTTCAACGTTTTATCGGGTTAATTCGTATGAAAAGCTTTTAATTTATGCGCTACCACCTTATAGTCGATAAAGTCATTTAGAAATCCAGCTCGACGGCTAATATATCAGATATGGTCCGCGTTGCTGCAGCTTTCCTCACGACTACGTGATTTTCAATGACCGTTTAATCGCGTTCTTAAATACCGGGGCCAAAGTAACGAGTCACAGCTTTCACCTTGAATCGGTAATCGAAACTAATCGAGTCGCGCGTGATAATTCAGATAAGTTTTTATTCGTTAAACTGGTAGACACGTACGATACACCTCCTACTGGAATTAAAGATAGGACTTTCTAATATCATTGAAACACGAGTCCACCTAAAAATAGATATCGTATAATTTCAGGTCGATTTAGTTTTCGATCGACGCTTCGAACATCGTCGATCTCGATACCCGGACATCGAGTCCGCTCATTGTCGAATCGATGATCTTGGAAAATATAATTAGTCGCCAAAAAGACGGTAACCGGAACAAAACAACCGATTCGAATCGCGTAATTGACGCTCGAGTCTCTTCGATATTCCGGGTTCTTTGTAAGCTTCCTTTTTTTCCCTTCGCCATTCAGATTTTTCAGCGAACGTTTATGTCGTGAGCGCGTGCGTTTCAAACGATCTCGATCCTCGTAAAAATTTGCGAAAAAACCTCGGAATCCGCTAAGGTCTCGAAAGAGGTTAATTCGGTTTTCGTAACGCGTGATCGATACCTGCCGCTTATTGTGTTTTCGAGCTACTGTATCATTATATCGTCGAAATCTACGATCTTATTACAGTTAGAGGATATCAATTTTTCGAACAGGGATTCCTTACGGTACCCCTAACATCAAAGGATCTCGTTAACTTTTACGTAACAATGCTTCACTCCGAGCGATTAAACGATTACGAGTTTAGTCGCAATTTCGCCGTATCCAGTTCGTCACGAATTTCGAGCATGGACGTGTTCGGTGTAGGAAGAGATCGAGAGGATCCATCTAACGGACGCGCGATCGAGATGGCCGGGCTACGAAAAGAACAATCGCGTACAGTTGTAAAATTAGAGCGCTTCTGAGAAAATCTGGAATAGCGTTGCACGCGATAATGACAGGAAGGTAGCGTCGCGTAAAGTTGAAGCACCTTGACTCGCATGATCGAGATCTCGAAGCGGCTGCAACTAATCCGGCCTTCGCTACTGCCGGTGCAATTATGAGAAAGTCTAGCAAACTCGCTTGTTAGACGAGTCACGTGCGACCTTCGATGACGCTCAAATTGGCGATACTTGAATTAGTGCTTTCGTGACTAACACTCCCCGTTAGCGCTCATCTCGCTAACGCGTTCTTTTTACCGGTACTCCTTTCATCGTCTATCGCTTCGTTATTCTCCGAGCTACGAGTTAGAAACGCGACGCTTCTTACTCCGAGCGAACACAAAATCTTCTATCTTCTGATAGCGCGATTAAACTGGAACTGGATTGTTCTTGGCGGTTGCTTTGATCCGCGACAAAAACGAACTAATAAGCGTAGTATTAGATCGCTACGAGCGGACGATTTCGAAACGTAGAAAGCCTGACACGATTCGATGACGTAAAGGTATCGGCAAACGAAAATATTTACGAAATATCGGAATGTATGCATATATATTAGCGACATTTCCGTGTCGCGAAATCGCGTCGGCGCATATTTGTATTTCGAGATGGTTCATTCGATGCGGAACAACGTAATTATTGCCGGCAAGAAACACATGTTTTTCTTGAACGTTTCATTTGCGCAGACTTGATGAGCTACCTCTTGATTGTTCGTCGGCTCTGAAACAAGTACAAAAGCAACTGGTTATTTAGATAGGACGATAACCAGTATACGGATACACAAAAGGGCCGTTTGCAAACTCCCAACACGATCATTTGCTCCAACGTGCATTTGCATTTATTCGTGCGATGAATGAATCAGACTATGAAAATTCTAGCCTGCCACGAGTCGATACGTTGCCGTGTATGTACGAATATTTACGTTATACCGTACAATGGGCAGTAGCGTAAAATTGCCCAATTAGGCATGCATCGGCAAGCACGGGCAAGAACGATGAACCAGATCACGGATCCCTTTTCTTCTTTGCCACTCGTGCCTTTGTACAAACGTTCGATCGTCTCGAATTATAATGTCGAAAATCAAATGTTAGCGACGCGAGAAGGCTCGTTTCCAAATGGAAAGAATCCACCGTGGTTGTTTATTAAAAAATTATTTGCCGTAATTATCTACCGTTGCTCGTCCAAGTCCAATTAACGAGCGAGCTTCGCGAAGTGCGCGAAAATCCATACCGGGCGAAAATCTAACCGAAACCGGAAGAAACACGTCGATACAATTTTACGGATTCCGTCGAAAACTCGTTAAAACGTAAGTATCCTTGCCTTTCGCGTTCAACGTCGATGAAACTCGAGATACACGCCAGTTTCCATGTACGTTTTATTCGATAATGACCCGTAGCTACCGATAGGAACGACCAAAATGATTATTTACGATTAAAGCGCAATTATTTTTGAAAGTCGAATAATCGGGAACGAAAGAACAAAAAATTATGATGATTTATAGAGAGTAAAACCTTACTCTTGGAAGAAAGTACAACGGTCAGCGCCGTTTCTAGAATGATAAATTAATTAGGCGGTAATGGTTCAAAAAAATTGAGCACTCCGCTGCGCAGAGACTAATTATCGCGTATAACTCTGCTTCCGTATAATTTGCACCCGTTTCTTAACGACGACGCGTTTCATCCTTAATACGTTAATGCTTTCGAATTTAATACGTTAATCCATTCTTTGGACATGATTCATTTCGACGCGTGGGCTAATGTATCCACGAAGATTCGCGCTCGAGTCTCGAGAATATCGGCAGCTAACGGAAGGGACGAATCGAAGGCGAAAGAACCGCGGGCCTCGTTCAAACGTTCTCATCCGAAAAATATGTCGAGACTCTCGATTCTCGTCTCGTCTCGTATTTCGTCTCACGAAGCATTATGTTGTTCTTGACGAAGATGCCCGTAAAAAGGAACGCGTACGCACGAAACGGCATTTTATTTCGGCAAAATAACGGTGAATCACGCATCGCGTCCCGCCGCGATAAAAAACGAGCAGCAAAACCGGAGCAGAAACCGAGAAAAGGGACGAGAGGATAACGAGGAGGCAAAACTCTGACACGGTCATTAATAAGCGACAAGTTTCATCGTGCAATTTAACTTATCATCGTTGTTGATCGATGAGAATCCTTCGCGTGCTGCGGATGCATCGCGAACGATGATTAAGGATCTTTTCGCGAAACAGCAACGCCACTTGAACGTCTCCGAAGAACGAGGAGAGCTCTTCTTTAACCGTACCGAAAAAAGAAGCATTCGCGCGACCGAAGCTCGAGAAGCGACATTACTATTAAAGCATTCGTTCGAAGAAAGAAAAATCGATTCAGCGAAGCGAACGAATCGAAATTTTATGCAAAATCGTTCGCCAGGACGTTTCGAGAGCAGCGGAGAAACGTTCGCGGACGAGACCGAAGACAGGTAAAATAAGACCAATCGTTGATAACGCAGGTTTCTGTAACCTGTCCGCGTCATCTTCGAGCGGAAAGGTAGTCCGTTTACTTTACTGACCGGGACTGGAACGGGTAAAAGGAATCCGACGTTGATAATAACGAGGTATCGATCCAACGATATTTCATCGTAATGATGACGGATCGTTAAACACTTTGAATCGTGCCAAGTTACACGGCAATTATGTTAATTAAAATAGCCAGTATCGCGTGTCAATTTTCTTTTATTTCGATACCGAGACCAATAAACGATCCGTTTTATATCGACGCAGGATAAAGCGAAGGAAGTAACACTTAAGATTCTGCGATATACCAGATAGGTCAATTAGTATCGGTTTAACGAAGCGTTTCTGCCGACACTTTATAAAGTTTCGCTGGCAAAAAAGGAGCAAAGTCTAACATCGCATCGACGTATCGCTTACGGAAGATGATCTTTACACGATTACTCGTTAATCGGTAGATTATCAAGGAGGTAGGTGGAGAGAGAGGAAACGTTTTTATCGCGGTCGGAAGCGGCGGTTACGAGATCTGCAAGTACAAAAGAACGAGATCCTTCGCGATAGGCGAATAAAAGGTTGGTCTAACGAGAAGGGCGTGGATATTACGAAATCCTGTTTCCTTTCCTCCTTCGAACGACTCTCTTCCTGGCAGCTTTTCCTTTCCTCCCTCGTGTTCGACCTTCTGCAAGGTCTTCGAGAAGAAGTTCGCGGTAGGAATGCGTGACTCGACGATTTTATAACCCGCATTCAATTACCATTCCTGGTGCTCTTGTTTCCTCGGTTTCGCGCTGCTGTGGTTGCGTTCGCGAAAAGAAAAGTTGACGCGCGGAATGTACGCGCACCGTCTAAATGCCGCTGCGAGAGTATGTCCCCTGTTCCTTTCTTCTCCGGTTCGGTCCGTTCGGTCTTTTTCTCCTTTTCGCTTATGCTGCCACGAGAACGTGATTTATTCGACGTCGGCTGAGGAGAATGGCCGGCGTAACGTGGCGAAGGAAGGAAGAGCCGTGATAGTGGTTCTCGAGGAAACGAGTTATCCTTAAGAACGTAGCAGGCAGACTCGATGGGCCGACAATTTGTTTTGGCTCGTTTGCCGATGATACGGCCGACTCGGGACCATTTTCTACCGAGACAACGTCCCCTCGATGCGACTCGCTACCCCTGCACGAAAACGAAACGCTTATCGGCTTAACGGTTTAGCGTCTCCCGACCTCCGATAACGCGCGATAACGCCAAGCGACTTCGAATCTTTCGTAGCATAGCCGTTCTTTCGCGTTCGAAAACCAGCAAACTAAATCAATGTCGTTTTTTCCAGTCATCATGCGGACGTCGTTGGTTCTACTGGCGTGGATGGTGACATCGGCGACAGCGGCGTCTTTTCGAGGCAGAGCGCGATTGTTCCCCGACGACAAGGACGATGCGCTTCCACTTTCTACGGAAACCGAGATTGTCACTGTCAAGGACGCGACGAATCAGCCGACAAGAAAGCAATCAGTGAAGACCGACAGTGGAACGAACGACTCGTTGCTAACCTCGATTCAGAATCAGGATAATCGAGCGGAAAGCAGTAAGCGCGTCAGCCAAGGCAAAGACAAAGTGGCGAAGAGAACTCGAAAGCATAAAGCCATTTTCGTTAACTACCCTGTCGTCCAGCAGCTTCGCTACGACTCGCCGTACGACGTCGATTACACCGGCAACGATTTCGATACCGAGGCGAGGTCCGTCTCGGAGCCCGACTATCAGGAGAGCGACATCTTTTACATTCGGCTGCCACCGACGCCGTACATGTTCGTCCCGGGTTTAGGCTACGTATCGCAACCACCCACCTACTCGACCGCCAACCTACGGCCACAAATCTCGTATGCGAGGCCGAGACCGAAACCGGCGCAACCCGTTAACCCGTTCATCAAGCTGCCCATAGATTTCGTGAGCAACGGGAAACCCACGGCCGTCTATCAGTGGCAAAAGAAACCTTCGAAAAAACCGACCGACAGTCCCATCACGAATCTCGACAGTTTATCGGCGGAGTTCGTCAACAACGGGAAACCGACGTCCATTTATCAGTGGCAGTCGAGTCTGAAACCGACCAAAATATCCGACGACGTGGTCAACAACCTGGACAAAGGCCCGTACACGTTCAACGGCAAACCGGCCAGATTCTTCCTGCTGAAATCCGACGGAACATCGTCGCGCCGTCAGTCTTTCCGATTCCCCGATTTCCAGCTGGACAATTCCTATTACTGAAGAATAGGCGAGACAGTCCCTCTCGTTGCTATCGAAACGTGGAAAACGTGGCTTCCTCGAGTCGTAGGAATTTGCGACTCGATCTCGAGGTCGGACGAGGTTTCCGGATCGGCGAAGCACGGGACAACGGTGAAACGAAACATTCTCGCGTAATCCGTGATTGCCGATACGAACGCTTGCACGAGACGCGAATCGACTCGAGAACGCGAGTCGATTGCTTAGAAATGGTCGTGGAAGCTCGCCAAGTTGTAATTCGCGCGTCGATAGACGGTGTGTTGTTCGTGCTCTCGATAAAGAAGTTGCGTCGGTTGAACGGTGAATTATCCGTGCCGCGTGTTCGATTACCATGTTAGAGTATAGGTTATTATTTCGATGATTACAGGGGATCCGTCGAAAGACCGACTGTTAAAAGGATAGGGTGCACCTCGTGTGAAAGTATCATTAGCGCGCGACGAATGATCGATTAATGCGTACGTAATTCGGTTCGAGATAAACGGCGAACCGAAGCAACCTAGCGACTGCAACCGTGGAATTTATAAATTCTTTTATACGCTCTGATTTTCTATTCACCTTCCACTTCGCGATAGCTCGACGCTTTGCCATGAATATATTCCGCTTAATTGAAACGTACGTTGCTACGTCCGATTTCAATGGAGCTTATCCTCGGGAAAAAACGCGTAATTGCTAAGTATAAATGTATAGTTTCTGTTTATAGATTATTCCTATTTATACGTTAATTAATTAGCGAACACTTACATTTACATTCGAGTAGGTTACACGGAGGGTAACGATTCATCGGGCAACGACGCGACAAGCGATTGCTCAAACTGAATTTTATAGAAAATCGAATGTCGCGTTCTGCTCGCGCGGATATCGTATATTTATTTGTAAATTCCAGTCATATTTATATATTTTCCTGTCGTCGTAATTATAGTTAAGAATCAATCCAGACTTTTGTTTATTTTGTACATAGGCGAAAAGTACAGGAACGCGAAAGATGGGCGAAAAATAGAGGAAAGTCGAAAGCACGAGCTGTTGGTACTTTTTCCGGAATCCTTAGCAACGTTCGCGCTCGGTTGCTGGCTGCGTCGACGAGAAAACGTGTTTCATATGGTTCCCCCTACCTCTCCCGGTCCCGACCCCACCGGTTTAACACAAATATTGACTCGGGACGCGAGTCTGTTCGGGATTATATCCTGTCTGGTTACGGGAATACTTGGCGATCTATGCTACTCGCACTCGAAGAAATTGAATTCGAAGATGACGATAATACTCCGCCAGATATCCCGGAAATTCCGGCTCGGAATGGAATCTCTCGATCGGCGACCGTTGCGCGTAAGAATTCGGGCTGCTTCGAATTCAATTTGCCATTGAAAAGGATCCTTCAGGGAATTATTCGTCTATCAAGTTATATTTTCCATTACCGAGTCATACATAAGCGTGTATCCCGCACAGGAAGCCTGTAATTTACCGCGTAATAGAAAGATACCGGTTGGATACCGGCGATATTCGTACGTTTCATTTTTTCTCACCAACAGCGAAATTATTTTTATCCCGCGACGCGATACCGATTAATTCCTGTCTCGGATGATAAATTAACTTATTAGCCGAGGGGTGAAAAGAGTAAAGAGAAAGAAGAAGCGATATCGTTCGCTCGACAAAGAAAGATAAGCATTCTTCTTGTCATTTGAGAATTCCGATGGTCAATTATCGAAAAAAATGATAGGCCCCTCGAGGCACTTTGGGGCCCATCGAGGCTGGTCGTGGCTCGATGCTATCGCAAATGTGCTGTAACGGGTTAAAAGTGGTGCTCATGCGAACGTCGAACGCTAAACGGAGTAATCGTCGATCTTTCTCCTACCGAAATAAAGAACAAACTCGTATCCCGCAACGGGCGCACGCACCGATACACGCATATAATCGTACAAAGTATTATAAATACTTTTATTCGCTACACTGAATGCCATGGTTCGATACAATTGAGCTTCCTCCTATAACGTATAATATATAAGAATATAAAAAATGTTTGCTGCTTTCACGCTCTGCGACGCAGTAGTAAAAAACCAGTAAAAAATGCTTGCGCGGCTGTATGTAGAAAAGGCATGTACATCCCGTCGAGAAGTCATATATTGTCCAGTCTTTCGTGTAAGGATCGCTCGTGACCGATTGCTCGAGAGAACGCGAGAGATCTCTCGAGTAGCGATCGCACGCAATAGCGCGAAACGGCACGTCGACGTACAAAAGTATCCGTTAAACTTATAAAAATATATTGTACAAGTTAAACGCGGCGTCAGAGGACGATCCGTAGTGAATTATTCGCAAAAAACGAAAAAAACGACACGGGGGATCGTCTCCTGATCCTTATCAAAGTCGTCGGAGTACATCCAACTCATTGTCAGTCGAGAGGCGGGCAAAATGTCCTTAAAAAACTAGCCTAATTTAAGTTCTCCTTTCCAAAGAAAGTTTCGACAACCTAGTCTAATCTCCCTAACAACTGTAACGGAAGTGGAACGGCTTGCAGGAAACGCGGTGGCCTCGAGCGAGAACGACCTCGATCGAAACGTCTGTCTCTCTTCGTCTCGTACTCGCTCCTACTGTATTTTTCTTCACGATCTCTCTCTTTTTCATTGTCAAAATTTGATCATCGTCTCACGAAACGACGGCCCCTGTTCTTGTTTCGCCGCGATCGCGCGACCACTTGGGCTAACAAGCTCACGGGCCGTTAACGCGGCACGCGATTACACACAATTTCTGCACCGTGTCACGGATTAAGGTAACAAGGGATGGTAATAGACGGGTTTGCGACTTTTCTCCATTACATAGAACGCCTTGGGTTTGCCGTTTCCGGGGAAGTTCTTGTGAATGCTGGTGGAGCCAGACTTGCCGGCGATAGGAGCGTAGTAGGACATGGCCGCCTTCTTCCGGTGTTTCTTCAGCTTCGCCGCGTTTCTCGAGCCGTGAAGTTCGTTCGTCAAGTGAATCCTGTGCACGCCCGAATCGTCCAACCTGTACGTTTTGTTGCTCGCGTTGCCGTTGCTCTTCTTCGTCGTTTCGCCTTTCTTCTTTTCCGGCTCGGGATAATTCAGTCTCTTGTCGTTGTTTCGTACGTGTTTCGACGGATTAATCTTCTGAGGAACGACCACTTTATTCCCCTCCGAAACGTACGAATACTTTCTCAGCTCCTGAGCTTCCTGATTCGCTTTCGACACCCCCTCTTGAACGCTCTGCACGAAATTCTTCGGCGACGAGTTCTGATACTTCTTCGTCTCTTCCAATTTCTTCTTGGCCTGCTCGATCTTCAGTTGAGTGTGCAGTCTCTTCTTTTCGCTCATCTTCTTCACCACCGGTAAATTCCAGTGATAAATCTTGGCGGGTTTACCGTTTCCCTGAAAACCGACTGGAAAATTAGGCCCAGTTTTGGTTATCTTTTCGTCCTTGACGAATTTGTGCGGTTTCGTGATCGTGTAATACGGCGGACTGGCCGGAAGCTTCACTATGTAGACGTGACTGTCGCGATGTCCGTGTCGACGGCTGTAAGGCTGATGAATCCTCGTCTGAGAGTTCAATCCAGGCGGCTCGGGACCGGCCAAACGCTTCTTGTGATGTCCATCGGGGACTTGAAGCGGCGCCAGGCCGAGGCGGTTCAAAATCGCCGCGTTGCTCGTGTGAACCGTCTCGTAGTTCGACATCGATTGTTCGGCCGCGATTACCACGACGGCGCCGGTCCACAGGAGTAGCAGCGAAATGCCGAATAACCTGAAACAAAAAACGACACAACGATTAGAAGAGTATCTCGACACTTCTTGCGACACTGTTCCTTTCACGGTCGACACCTCTCCGAGGCGATTTTATCCTTTCGGAGATCGATTACGGCAAGTGGCTCCGTTATAAATGAAGCTATCCTTCTCGAATCGCTGCAAGCTGTAATTACGGCCGACTGATTAAAAGACGTTCCGAGTAGCATCTATTTCACGCTCGGACCCTACACAACGAAACGCGAAAGAATAGCGAGTCGATTTAAAAGTCGATTTATCAACTCGACAGGCGACCGCTGATTCAGCCATCGGCCGGTCTATCGCGTAACTTCCTCGAGCGGACAGCGAACCGAATTCTAAACTACCTAACAGATCGTGAACTAAACGGTGGGTGAAAAGAAACGAAAGCGAGGAGAAGTTTCATTGACCGCAAAAACGATGACTCGAAATTTTACGAGCGGACAAGCGCGCGACGAAAAAACGCGAACCAACCTGGAGAGGCGTTAGAAACGCGCCGCGTGCTCTTCAACCATCGAGACACCGTTCGCTGCTCGCTTATCGTCGTCGTCTCGGCTAAGGGCAACTAAGGCGATAAATCACCTTTTCCTCTTAATTACTCGCTACACGCGGTACTGTACTCGCTAATTATTCCCCAGTCGTTTTTCTCCCTTTTCTCTTTCTTTTCTCGGACGACGCTCCACGCATAATACCGAGAAACGTGCGTCCCATGCCATTAACAGTAACCCGAGTGCTTCGTCGATTGCCTGTTAATTTCGAGTTTCGTCGAAAAAACCTGGCTTGCCGTGCGATTTACTGGGCGGCTTCGGAGCTCGAAGAAAAGACGAACATAAATCTAGCCGACACCGTTACGTCGTTATGTCACGATTAACTGCGAGATGCAATATTTATGCTCTGACCGTGCGATCAACGGCGATCCGTGTACTTCCTGTTATTATTTCAGACGCTGTATGCCACCTATTAGTTGAACGATTTCGCGAATGTCGATCGGTTAATTCTATTATCCAAAAACAACTCGGACAGAAATATCGGCAAAACGAATAATTAAACATCGAAGTCGCATTTGAAGAAATTAATACGCCAGCCGGGCGACTCGACACGAAATTATTTTCTCGTCCAGTCGAGGAGAGAGGTCACGCTGGCCAGACGAGCGAGCTGGATCTAAAAATAAGAGGAAAAATCACGAGTCGGCCGATTGAAAAGACCGTCAGAAAGTAAGTTATACCGCTTGACGAGTATTCATCCGGCACGCTGTTAGAACCACTCTCGACTAACAAGCTCGTTAACTAATTCCCATTAAAAAGGAATTCTTTTTTACTATCAGAAGGATCTCGATGTAACGTTACTCCCAAACAAAGCTCCATTCACGCGATTCTCTCGAATTCTAAGCCATCGGTGGTTCTATTAGTTCCGTCTGAATGCGGTTTTCTCAACGAAATCATTGTTCCACCAAAACCATTATCGTTCGACCTATCTAAAAATTGAACAGCCGGGATCGAGCAACGTGCTCGTCCGACACGTTCCTGTTTTAAATATCAACGACTGCGCACGCTGCCAGTTACAAAAAGGAACGGTAAAACCTTCCTATTGAGTAAGTAACCAACAATAACCGAACATAAATGTCCGACTGTTTGCAGGCGATCATTATTCCCGAGCCGTAAAAGCACTGGCGTAACTAGGCAGGAAGCAAGATAGAGGGCACCTGCGAAAATATTTTGTCGCGCGACACGGAGGAAATTCGAGCTCTCGGTTTGCCGATTTATCGAGAATCGATGAACGGAAAAGTATCGAAATTCGTGAAAGCGATTCGAGGGAGCAATGTAGGGGATATGGCCAGGTCAGGGGAGAAATTCTAGTTACGCCAATGACGATAACTCGATCGAGCAACCTGCGTGGTAAAAAAGGTTTGGTTCGCGATTACGATGCCGGTTGGCCGGATGGCCGTGTGCCGATCGTCGGTCCATTAAGGTTCAACGCATTCGTCGAAAGCACGCGATTGGCAGGTTAGAAGAACGCGGAAGAGGACTCCTCTCTCGTAGCCGCGGAGAAGAGAGCACGACCCAAAGAGGCGAGGCGAGAGTGGATGAAAAACAAGAGAAGAAAAAGAAAGGAGAAGAACCAGAGGAGGAAGAAGTCGGAGGTAGGAGAAGGTTGAAAGACGATGTAACCGATCGAGCGAAAGAGGCGAGCACGAAAGAGGCACGCGAGCACAGGATGCGTGAGAAAAAGCTTAGCTCGAAAACGCGTGGAACTGCGTCGCGGTCACGAGGATGGAATAAAAAATGAAAGGCGAACGGCGTTGCGGTGAACCGAGATTAATCTCCGCGATCATCGGCTGGATCAACGTTTGCGGGCTATCGATTTTAACCTGCTCCAATGATTCCGGATATCGAATAATTCAATGGTATCTCGATCCGATGTATCCCGAGATCGAAATCCATCGCGATCCGATGTAGTCGTTTCCTGCGAATCTCGCACGAAAGGCACGCGCATTCTCTTCGGACGTTTCGACTCATTTGGCTAAATTAACGGGACAATCTGTATGCTTTCGCTTTAGCGGACCATAACATTTCCATCAAGGAAGATGAAAGGCCGAGTCGTTAGCCGACGCGAGCTGTAAGTACCCACGACGATGATTGTTTCGGTGTACTTGTTATGCAGTCTGGTAATTTGCCACGTAATTACCGGGCTCGTCTCGCCGACTACCTGCGTCGATAAGTACCCCCAACGATTGAGCAAATTATCCATCATTTTTTTTTTTATTGGACAGTAAAATCGAGTACGTGGATCCGCGCACGTTCGGTCGAAGCGGTCGATTGATTCGATAACGCGTCGACAGTAGTAAGTACGTATCTCGTTTCTGCGTAGTTACGTCGCGTTCGCGAACCACTTTCCGCAACAAATCGGTTACGATCACGTGAAAGGTTAAACGGGAGAATAACACGCCAATCCGCGCTAGCTTCATTTGACCGCGAGGCGAAATAGCTCGCGCGATGGAGGGCGAAGAGGATGCAACCGAGTTCGACGAGACGTCGGTGGTTGCCGCGGGGTTGTAATGGCCCGCGAAGCCTGTAATTTGTGTCTTGGTCGAGTTAACATTCGACTACGAGAAAAGCCGAGTTGCCACCCAAGCCTCGTCCCATGCCGAGGGTAAAGCTCCTTCGTCCGAGCGATTCGAGCCGATTTAAACGACTATGCCGCCTGAAAAGTTGACAATTTTCTCAAGTTAATATTCCGTCGTTGCGCTCGTAATTGTTTCCGTTGGCGCCAACACGTAGGGTCGACACCGACGGGAAAATTGCTCGCATCGATCTCGTGATCGAGATACGTTTACCGTCTTCTTTAACTCGACGTCTACCGTTCGTGATCGCTATCGAGCATCCTGGAAAGAGATAAGAACCAGCTACTTCGATCGTCTACGGTCGCGTGATCTCGCGATATAAATTCGTTCGATATTCAGCGAAACTATGTCTCGCGTCCGAAGACAATTCGAAACTCGACGAGTTTCTAGATTGGAAACAAATCATCCCGGGGAATCGGCTGAATGGCTACAACTTCGAATAGCTCGAATTCCGCGAGACTCGGTTAGAGGATTCCAGCGGAACGACTACCTCCTCATTCCAGAAATACCGTGCGGGCGGAAAGACGTTTCTCTTATTAAAACGCGAGATTTTCTCGACTAAGAGGCGGTTAAATCCGAAATCCGCGAATCCTCGAAATTCTACCAACCACTCGTCCCGTCGCGAAACCGATGCGTCCAATTAATCCGCCCGTATACGAAGCAGATTAATCGCCGTGTGGCGTTTAAACGGAAAAGAAGATTTTTCCGCTGATCACGAAGAAGATACGAATCCTAAGTCGCGTTAACCCCGAGGCCGGAGACACGTTCCGTGGATCCGACAGAGGATTAATCCGTGGCACGAGAGAGTTTGTTCACCTTGCTGATCCGAGCAGACTATAGCGAAGACCGTAGGCTCGTGTCCACGATAGAATCGAGCGTGCACCCTCGTCGTTGAGTTCGTGCGAACATCACACGTGCTCGCGCACGCATCGCGTATCGCACACCTTTAAACGCGCGGCTTTCTCGCGTACATCGTCCCGCCGGAAAACGCTTCAACTTCTTCTCGGTGTGTTTCCGCTGAACACCATTTAAATAAACTTTACTTCGTCGGAATGTTCGAGTTTAAAAAGCGATCAGGAAATAGATAAAAGGGGATAAATTTGCGTGACTGATTCTAAGCTCGAGAATCATGACTCGCGCGAAACAATGTTTCGTTCCGTCGTAACAAATTGTTCCGATCCAAAGTTTCGTAAGGCAATTGAAACCGTGCGACGATAGTATCATCGGCTGCTCGTAGAAAACCAGTTACCGCTGCGTCCATCATCGTGATAAGTAATTTTATGCCATCTCATCTGTACATAACCCGAGGTATATCCGGATCAACGTCTACGCGTAAGAAAAATCGATGAATGATGGCAAATGAACGGATAAAATCACGCTCGATGAAGATGCATCGACGTGCCTTGAGACGCAGCAACGAACGCGACCGGAAAAGTGGTTGATTCGATACAAAGTATCGGAACTACCGCATCCCATAGCTGTCGGTAACGGTCTTTCTTGCGATTCGTTCGATCTCTAGTGGTCACGACTCGTAATCACGCATCGCGGCGTAAAAAATTAATTGCAATCGCGGTTGATGGATGTCTTAAGAAGGCGCGTTCACCGCGAAGCGGACGACAGCGATCGGTAGACGCGTACTCAAGGAATTTAGCTGTTCCACGTGACTGAAATAATATATCGATTTCCGTCCGCTATGCTTTCGAGTATGTACGCCGTCATAACCTAACATCGCGTCACGTTCCTGCTGTAGCTAGAGAACCTGACGGACGCGCAGTCCATAAATCTCAATGCACCGAATTCGCTTGGACCTCGTCCGACTAACGTTCGTCGCAATTAACTCCTTCCTTCCGACCGCAGGATCG